GGGCACCTCTGCAAGAAAACGACAAAAACATTAGCAGAGGATAATCGAAACAAACACAGAAGGATGTCGAGGCATTTGAACGATTTAGTCGAAGATTACCTGGTCATTCTCGATTCGGATAAGATAGAGAATCTCATCACTGGGAGGGGGACAAGTCTTGTGGGAGAGAAGACCACAATAGTGAAGAAGGTTTTCATCCCTAAGAAGTTTCTCGGACGCAACGGACTTGGAGTTCCAAGTGAAGACCCGTTGGTCGAACAGCGGGTTGGGAGGAGGGGCTGAAGCCGCCTCTCGCGAAACCTCCTTGACCCAGGGGACATACATCTAAGGAAAAGGAGCATCGGGCCGGACAAAAATAAATTTATCACTCCACTTGGGGAGATTGGAGGGGATATCATTGATGAAATGGGCGCCATTGCGGCTCTTTAAATATAGGCCACGACCCTGCTTAGAAGGGACGTAGCAGTAATGAAAGAAGTCTAGGCTGAATCGACCTAAACGGACGCGACAGAGAATAATAAAGATCGTCATAAAGCGAATGGCGTTTGGGGGGAGTTGGTGCAGAGAAAGCCCGAACCATTCACAAATCTGAAGAAGTTCAGGGCATAGGGAAAACCGAAGGCCAAGCTTAAATTGGATTTCAAAAAAGGTATAACAGTCCCTCGGAGGATGATCATATCTATCAGAGGAAGAGAAGCTAAAGAATGCCCAACCGAGAGATTGGCCGATCTTTTCAGGATCATACCAAGGATGGAGAAGAGAAGTAGAAGATGGACGCCTCGAAGAAGCCTTAGAGAGTTTTTTGGTCGAGGCCTTATGGGAAAGAGAGTTAGAAGTCCCAAGTTGATAAGAGGAAGGAGGAATATTTGAAGAAGGAGCAGACGGGGGTTGAGGAGAAATGATCTCATCCTCCTCGGGCTTGTCTAAAGCACCGAGGGCAGGTCGACGGTGGCGGAGTGGAACGTTATCCATGGTGTCCCCGGAATTAGAAGAAGCAATATGGGTGGTAAAGACACGGGTAGGAACGGTATCATCGGGCCGAAGGATAGAAAGAGGAACAACTTCAAGGGCTGAAGGCAAGATTTGAACCGAGTCGGAGGAAGTGGTCGAAGTAGCAGGATCTGAAAATAAGAAGAAAAAAAAAGAGGAGAAGAAGAAGATTCCTGAGTTAGGGTTCTACCGAGAGGTGGTTTTGTAAAAATTAAAGGAGAAAAACAGGGATTTCGAGGGATTTTCGAAGGGAAAAGGTAGAGACAGACATTCAATACACAGATTCACAACACTCAAACATCAAACTTAGACACCCAATTCAAAAAATTCAAAAATGCAAAAGCTTAGATACAGGAAAAGTAAAATCAGGCAAGAAGCGACTTACTCATAATCGCGGATAAGAGATTTGGAAGAACTCGAAGATCGCAAGGAAAATCGTCGAAAAAAAGTTTAGGGTTTTTTGCAGGAGAAGTTGTAAGCACAGAAGAGTCTAAAATTGCAAAGGTGGAAAAACTAAGAAAATTCGCTGAGTATCGAATTTATACTTGGAGAGTTGAAGGGTTGGAAGGGCAAGACCGTTGGATTAAAACCAGATCTAACGGTGGGAATCATTAATTAACACAGTACTCAAAGTGGGCGCGTTATGCGAGGAGGCGCTATCATTAAAAGTGACCAACAGATGCGGCAGACGCGACGCGTGGCAGAAAAGTAGGCGAGGCAGAAAGGACGTGTGATAGGTGACCCTATCTCTGGCAATCAATAAAGTATTATTTGAAAAATAAAAAGTGGGAAATCCATCGGATGGTCGATATCGGACACCATGTTATCCCGGAGGTCGATAGGCACAAATTCACTCTTATATCGAGTCATTTAGACTCGACCAGAGTGGGGGGGGGACTAGATGATATAGGATATTATACCCACAAGGATAAACCGGTCTATTAACAGGTCGAGGAGGTCGTATTATGAGGGAGTTAAAGAAATCGAGCAGTTAACTAGTCGACCAGATGAACGATCGAGCAGTTCAGTCGGCCTCGATAGGTCGACCACTTCGAGGACTTTACACCATGCTGGTCGGCCTAGGTACAGGCGCGTGAGAGAGCCTCTAACTGAATTCCAGGGGAATATTTACCTCATGTGCAGGGGGACACGTGTTGAGAAGGCAGTGGTTGATAGCAATAACCACCTCTGACAGCCTACCCCATGTGCAGGGGGACACGCGTCCAAAGGATATTGGTGCAGGCGATAGTGGCGACGGCTACCCCTGACACACGCGTATAGTGTGTACGGACGGCCAGTTAGGGCAGACAGCTCATCAAATCCAAGCAGCCCTAGGTCAGGTATCTCACCCCTATATAAAGGGGGTGAGCCTTTCTTCTTCAACACGATCATTCTATTCTTACTCTTGAGAATTGGTTGAATATACACTGACTTAAGCTTCAGAGGCTCTTCACCGGAAAACCCCTCCGGTGTGGGAGTTCTTTGTAGGTGCACGACGTTGAACCGACAAGAAGGAAGGCGATTATTCATGTTCCAGCCGGTCGGGGAGTTTTGTGTTACCAATATTCATCATTGTATCTTTTTCTGCCGATTCAGTAAGTACTTGCATATATGTCGAGGTCATGATATGTTATTATAATAGCTGTATATTTTAGTGTCGGTTCCAGCAGAGCATCATTGATTCATTTATGCTCACGCCCCTCACTAACCATTTTTAGGTGACGATGTCGAGCGTGGAGTGTAAGCCCATGATGTGGTGGTGGTCATAACAAGGATAATCTATAGTAAACATGTCATGTATATTTGAACATGGTTAAGCTATTATTATGCTTTGTTGATGCATGCTTGTATTTGCTTCAACACTCAGTATTTCAGTATTACAGTATTTTAGTATCTAGAATTTAAGTCTATACATGCTTAAATCCTTAGATGTTCATGGCGCCTTATTAGAGTAATGAATTACACTCGGTTGCATGCCTAGTAATTTAAAGATATTAAAGGTTAAAGATTTAAGATTAAAGTTGAGTAGCACACATCATATTATACTTAAAGTACTTTCGAAAAATTAATATGAGTTTTCGAAAATTAAATCAGAGTTTTCCTTTAATAACGCAAAAAATTTACTTTGATTTTAGTAAGTCTAGGCGGGGTGTTACAACTTCTCTACACCGATAACATGTACCTCTGTTTTGCTCTTCTTACGCTGTCTAGCTCGCATGGTAACATTTTAACACGACTTGGATATCTTCTAGTTTCTTGTAACCTCCCCAAATTTGTCACAAAATAAGAACTTGATCATCATATAATTGGTTGACATGACTTTCTAGAACACATTTACACTATTATTGGCGCCGTCTGAATTGAAGGAGCCCGGGTGAAGTCCATTTCACTAATATCCGCGTCGTATGTGGGAACTGTTAAAAAAGCCAAAGAATCAGGCATGGGGAACGAAGTTCTGACCAAAAAATCCAGAAATTATCCAACAACCTCCTTCACATCTATTGGCCGCCGCAACCGCCATCGTCGTCGACCACCACCTCCACAATGGAATTTCCATTTGGTGAGAAAGTGACTTGAATTTAAGTATTTTTTTAAACAAAGTTAGTCATTGTTGAGTGCAAGATATGTGTAGCGCCCCTTCCGATTTATGTGATTTACAGTATTATTATATTATGATTGTTTGCTACTTATTATCATTTGCTTGATTCCATTAGTTCTTGTATTTGATTATTGTCATATGCTCGTTTTATTGTGTGACCCCTTTCGTTTGATATTTTGTGCCTCATTGATTTATTTACTTGCTCTTATATTATTAATTGCTTTGATTTCATCATTTTATTTGCTTACTCGATTATTATTATGAATTTGATCGTTTCTGACTTGTATGAATTATCTTTTTTATTAGGGTTAATTGCTATTTAAGTCTTTACCTTTTCGTGTTTGACAATTTAATCCAAACTTTTGAATAATTGCAATATAATCCGGACTTTGACTTACTTTTGCAAAATGAACTGAATCTTCGTCGGAGATTCGAAAAATACCAACGTGTTCGGCTGCTTATATCCACGTTAATATAGGGTACATTTTCAAAATTTTAATTGAAGTGGATTTTTTTATTTTTTTTCCTAACTTATGAATTCCACATATGAGTCATGTCATCGCCACATAAGTTTTCAGTCACAAAAGTTCGCCAACTCAGCAAACTGTAAATCCAACGTGGATATAAGCAGCCGGACACGTTGGCATTTTTCGAATCTCCGCCGAAAATTAAGTTCGTTTTGCAAAATTAAGTCAAAGTCAGGATTATATTGCAATTATCCAAAAGTTTGGATTAATTTAGCAAACGCGAAAAGATAAAAGTTTAAATAGCAATTAATCATTTTTATTATTATATTATTATATAAACCATGTTATTATTATTAATGTGTGTATGAATTAGATTAGGATTATTTTAGTTATTAGATTTCATTTGTTCGGCAATTTTCGGTTTAATCGCGTAAACCGATTCTTATCCGTTTTGACTCGTTTTAGATGTCACTTTGAACCTAACCTTGAGTATCATTCTTGGCCCAAGCCTTTGCTTACCTTCAGTCCAATTGAGCCCAAAAGACGGCCTTTGAAAAATTTGAAGATCATTTTGCCTTAAAGATTTTGTAACTCATTTCCATTTTTCATTTGAATTTCAAATGTGTATAAATCCTCATATGCTATTTCTTGGACCAGATCCTTCCCACTCCAGTCTACACGCCTGTCAGCCTTCAATGTGCCGTTTAGAAGCCTTTAGGGGTGCAATTTATGGTAACTTTTTTTTTCAAGAACAAAAATATTCATGATAAAGAAGTTCAAATGTAACAACAAGAAATATCCAGAAATGTGAAGCACATGAGACATTCCATAACAAAATTAACCCTATCCATTCAGATATAATTCCAAAGCTCATAAAATGACTCCATTCAAAAACAGCTAATACTGAAACATAACTCGAGCACAAGATTTAACCTCCATGACTTCTAATACTTAATACTTAGAACCTGAGCTTTGAGAAAAACCAGCGGTTCTTGCCAGTCTTGAACCTCTACTCGAACCTTGCCTTGATCTCCTTGCAGGCGGTGACCTTCTTGTCGTGCGAGACCAGGCATCAGCGGTGACGATGTCCTTGAGATCCACGTCGAGGGTGTAGCGCGTGGGCATGATGTCTCGACGTGGTTGTAGTTGACCACCTTGATGAAGGCCTTGACGCGTGACTTCTTGGCCGAGTCCTTACGGATGACCTTGCTCGGGTACTTGGCTATGCCGGTGACGAAGCAGTGGCCGTAGGGGCGGTCGCGTGTGCCATCGTCCAAGTTTTTCACGATGGTGGCCTTGTGACTGGCGTAATTCCCTTGGAGGAGGATCACCGCCTTGTTTGGCTTCAGGAACTTCACCATTTTTGCCTGTGCGTGTGTGTACTGTGCGGGGTGGAGATGTTGGTGGTGTGAAGTTTATGGTAACTTATATTTCATTGATTCACTTCAATCACTTAAGCATATATCCCTCATTTGCCCTTTCTCCCCACCACGTTTTTGACTCTTTTTTTCCAAAGAAAAGTCTGAAAATCTTCTCTTTTATCATAAGCTCTCCAAAACCTTGAGAAAAACATTGTGAAAAATTCAAAAATTCGTTTTCCCTCTCTCGGCCGTTGCTGCTCCAATCCAGCACCGCACGCGTTCCCTCCTCGCGAGCCCCCAGCTAAACAGTGTCGTCCCCAAGCTCTTGTTCGCGTTCGACCAAGGGAACCTCTGCTCGACGCTGTCCAGCCTCCGTTCATCCCATTCACGAGTAAATCAAGCCACCACGCGAGCAAACCCTGCCTTACACCGCCGAGGTCGCACGTCTGCGACGAAGACACCCTAGTTCAAGCCTTGCACCACCCTCGCTTGTAGATCCATGTGGTGAACGGTATCGATGGCTGGTCATTTTCTTTGATGATATATATTGTGTTATAATATTCTATGATGATATTTGATTGGATCCATGCATTTAATTGAAGATATTTGCGTTTTGATTTGAGATCTATTGGTATTTGTTGATTATATGATAACTCTTGATCATCATTGTGAAATTATGTGGATTTGGACGCTCCGTAATGCGATTTAGTGTTTTAGAGTTGATTAGGATTTTTGGAATTTAGATTGAAGGCCTAACTGAATTTTAAAGTAATTTTGACCCTTTGTTATTCTAAAATTTTATAAATTTTTCTGCGCGATCATTTTTTTAGCTGATTTTTAGATTGGAGATTTCTAACTTGATGTTAAGTATGCTGTAAAAATTTCAAGTTCGAATTCCAACCCTAGCCTATCGAACCATAGCCATTTACGAGAACCTAGCAGTCTGCCAAGTGCAGCCGCGGACACTGGCCGCGCCAGCAGCGAGCCCTGACGACCTCCCGTGCCTCAACCCGCACCCAGTGACGCCCGCGTGCCCTCAGTCCATGCACAACGACCATATACCGTGCCCAGCGACCAGACATCGGCACCCAGCGGCCACAACAGCCCGCGCGCGACCTGCAAGCGCCCAAGTGAGCCTTGGCCCGCGCCAGTTCGTACCCACACGTGCCTAGCAGCCCAGGTCCATGCCCGAATGAACCCAACTGCTCCCGCACGAGCCAGCTCGCACCCGTTTCGGTCCGATTAAACCCAATTTTAAATTTCTCGAGCCGTTTGACATAATTTCGAGCCTTTAACCCCGTTTTTCGCGTAGATTCAATTTTTGGCCTTTTTAAGTGATTTTTTCAAAATGTTCCTTAAAATCAGACGGCTCTAAATTTCACAAAATTCCACGAGCTATTTAGTCGATATTTTTTCGACTAAGTATGAATTCTCTTTTTAAATTCTTGATTTACAAGATAAGTATTTTTGAAATATTATCTTGATTAATGTAGGTGCTTGAGGAGTCGAGCCTCAACCTACCTTCATCTGATCGTGTGATTCGTCTGCTTCAAACTGATCAGGTGGGTGTTGATAAACCTTACCATATATGTTATTTGATATAAATGATTGGTTTTTATAATCAATGTATGCATGTGAATCGTTAGTCTATGAGAGGGTAATCTCACATTGATGTTGTGTCGAGGTTCTCCTACTTTAGCCTATAGAGAGGTATCCCTTTGATGTTGTGTCGACGGTTTAGCTCCTGTTGATGTTGTGCCGACGGTTTAGCTCCGATTGATGTTGTGCTGACAGTTTAGATGTGATCATGAGCATAGGGCTGTTTAGGAGTTGGACTAGAAGATTTGTATTGATGCTGCGATTATGATTTTAAGTCATTATATTGAATACACTGCACGATATTCCCATAGTTATCATGTTGGTCGCTCACTCCCACTATTTCCCCCATTTCAGGTTGTGCTGGTAGCTGTGGTGAAAGACGAGCGAGGCGTGGTCATATTTATCTGTTGATTATGTTTATTATTGCTTCTTTTAGATTATTGTCGTCATCTTTTTCCAAACATGTTGAAATGTTGGTTTTGGAGGCTGGATTATCTGTTTGATGATTATGCATGCTCTGAATTTCGAATTTGGATGTTTCTTATGTTTGAAATTATCATTGAGGCATGTTTATATGTTTGGCTTGAGATATGGATATGGGATGGTTGATTCCCCTTTGTTTAAGTTGAGATTTAAACTAATTAAATGAGGTAATTTGTGAGTCTTAATAAAATAATGGTTTGTGAAACAAATTTTGCCAAAATGATTTGCGAAACTAAACTCTGATTTTAAAATGATTTGCGAAACTAAACTCTGATTTTTCCAAAAATATTCAGTATTTTTCTCTTTAAAAATAATGGGGCGCTACAAGATGTGTGGCACGCGTGAAGTTCTGCCAAAATGTATTTTCACTTGTGGAATAACTCGTGGAGTTCTTTTTGAGTTGATTTTTCTTAATTTTTTAAGTATGTTATTACTTGAGTATGTTTTAAATCAAAGAGATTATTGGATTTATTTATCTATCTTGTTCTTATTGCTATTGGTTTCAAGGTGGATGATGTGGATAAAACACGACTAATGGTACTTTTCTGAATTCATGTTGTGGAAAATCCAAGAGCACATGGAGTGGATATTTGTAATAATCGCTTAGTTATGGTGAGGAGTTGAAAGCAGAGAATAAGCGGAAAATCAGTTCTTCATGTACAAATAGAAAACAGAGGTAAAAAAATATGCTTGATTTTTTTTTTTTTATCTTGTTCGATATTATTGTGCATTCGATGACATTAATGAAAATCATCGATTACAATCCTATCTTGTTGTGTTCGATATATTTCTTTTCGACCTCAGTGGCAGGTTGAAGTCTTCGAGCTTTTCAGGAGTAAAAAATCCACATGACTAAGGCCATTAGGCTGAGTGGTCGCTTATTTTGAATAATCCAAGAAAGGGTTGGACAAGTGGTCAACACCAAAAAGTCCATCATGACTAAGGCTTTAGGGCTGGGTGGTCACTTGTCTTGAACAATCCCAGATGGGGGTTTGGCTCAAGACCAAAATCCACCATGATTAAAGGCTTTTGAGCTATGTGGTAACTTGTTTTGAACAGTCTCAAAGGAGGGTCGGTCAAGTGTTCAAGACCAAAATCTACCATGAAGGCCTTCGTGCTGGGTGGTAGCTTGTTTTTAACAATCCCTGAGGGGGGTTGAGCAATTGTTCATGAGAAAAATCCACCATGATTAAGGCTTTCTAGCTGGGTGGTCGCTTATTTTGACCTATCCAGAGGGGGATTGGGCAAGTGTTACTGACCAAAATACACCATAATTAAGGCTTTCAAGGTGGGTGGTTGCTTGCTTTGAACAATCCTAGAGTTGGATTGGGGAAGTGCTCTAAATAAAAAAATCACCATGATTAAGACTTTCAAGCTGGGGAGTCGCTTATTTTGAACAATCCCAGAGTGGGGTTGAGAAAGTGTTCTAGATCGAAATCCACCATGATTTTTGAGCTGGGTAGTCACTTGTTTGAACAATCATAAGGTTGGGTTGGGCAAGTGCTCGAAATAAAAAATTCACCTTGATTAAGGCTTTCGAGCTGAGTAATCATTTGTTTTGAACAATCTTAGAGTTGAGTTGGGCAAATGCTTGAAATAAAAAATCCACCATGACTAAGGCTTTCGAGCTTTTGTTTTGAACAATCCTAGAGTTGGGTTGGGAAAGTGCTCAAAATAAAAAATCCACCTTGATTAAGGTTTAGAGGTATGTGGTCGCTTGTTTTGAAAAATCCTTGAGTTGGGTTTGGCAAGTACTCGAACTAAAAAAATACACCATGATTAAAACTATCTAGTCGGGTGGTCGTTTGTTTTGAACAATCTTAGAGTTGGGTTGGGTAGGTGTTCAAGACCAAAAATCTGCCATGGCTAAGGCCTTCGGGCTGGGTGGTCGATCCTAGTGTCTGGTCGTTGAAGGCAGGGAGAAAGGATGTTCGGGCAGGTCGATGGTTTTTGCTTGGTTTGGTTTTGTTGAATTTGTTTTTTTATCGCAGCGACAGGTCGATGGAGTTCACTTGGTGTAATTCACGGTGTAATTCACGGAGCATATCGACAGACCTTGATGGCAGGTCTATGATTTTTACTTGGTTTAGTTTTGTTGAATTTGTCATCTGACCCTAGTGGCAGGTCGGTGGAGTTCACTTGGTGCAATCCATGGAGATTATTAGAGACCTCGGTGGTAGACCTCTGATAAAGGTCGAGCACTTTCAGTCATCGAATATAGATCGAAATCGACAGAAAGGATTGATTGAGAAAGCAAAAATGACAAGCACATTAAATTTGATATGACAGGATCACTGCACGAGAACGGTGTGGAAGACGAGGGGGTTAGGTTGAAAAGACACATGATTTGAGAGGATATACAAGAATGTTGAACTTTTAATTTTGAACTGAGGGGCAACAAGACGAGATGGTTGAAAAAGTTATCTCTAAGTGAAGAGAGCTCAAACATTATGGTCGAAAAACAACAAACGTGAGTTCAAGTTTTCAAAATTAAGACGTCGGGGAGAGATTGAGAAAATCCATAAATGGGAGTCCAAGTAAGCAGGCCGAGAGGTATAAAAGGAATGTCAACATTGCAAATGAGGAGCAAAGGAATCTACTCTAGGAATAAAAGTTCGACCTTAATGCGGCGAAAGTTCATTCGGTTTTCGACCTTAATGGAAGGTAATTCGGTATTCGACCTCATCGGCAGGTCATTTGGTTTTTTACCTAGTGGTCGTTCGGTTTTCGACCTCATTGGTAGGTCATTTAGTTTTTTACCTCATTAGCATGTCATTCGGTATTTGACCTCATTGGAAGGTCATTTGGTTTTCTACCTCAGTGGCAGATCATATGGTTTTCGACATCATCGGTAGGTCATTCGATTTTCGATCTCATTGGAAGGTCATTCAATTTTTGACCTCATTAGCAGGTCTTTTAGTTTTTCGACCTCATTGGAAGGCCATTCTGTATTTTACCTCATTGGCCATTCAGTTTTCTACCTCAGTGGCAGATCATTCATTATTCGACCTCATTGGAAAGTCATTTGGTTTTCTACCTCATTGGCAGGTCCTTCGGTTTTGACATTGGAAGGTCATTCAGTTTTCAACCTCATAGGCAGGTCATTCAGTTTTCGACCTCAGTGGAAGGTCATTCAATATTTTACCTCAGTGGTTATTCGGTTTTCTACCTCAGTGGCAGGTTCGGTTTGAAACCTCATTGAAAGGACATTTGGTTTTGTACCTTAGTGGCAGGTCATTTGATTTTAGACCTCATTGGAAGGTCATTCAATTTTAAGACTTCATCGTTAGGTCATTAAATTTTTTTTGCAGTGGCAGGTTATTAGGTATTTTTGACCTTATTGGAAGGTAATTAGGTTTTCTACCTCAGTGGCAGGACATTTGGTTTTCGACATCATTGGAAGATCATCCAGTTTTCGACCTCAGCAGTCATTCGGTAAAATGGCAGGTCATTCAGTTTTTGACCTCATTGGAGTCACTCGATTCTCCACCTCATCGACAATCATTTGGTTTTCGATCTCAGTGCAAGGTCATTTGGTTCTCTACCTCATTGGAAGATCATTCGGTTCCCTACCTCAGTGACATGTCATTTGATTTTCTACCTCATCGGCAGGTCATTCGATCTTCAACCTCATTGGAAGGTCATTCGGTTCTCTACCTCATTAGGAGGTCATTTGGTTTCCTACCTAAGTGGCAGGTCATTTGGTTTTCTACCTCATTGTAAGGTCATTTGGTTTTCGACCTCATCAGTCTTTTCAATGCTCATTCGAGGGCTATTCGGTGGTCATTTAGGTCTCTCAGTGTTCAATCGGAGGCCATTCGATGGTCATGCAGGTCTTTTGGTGCTCATTAAAAGGCTATTCTGTGGTCATTCAGGATATTTGGTGGTCATGAGATTCTTTTGATGGCCATTTAGATTATTCGAATGTCATGCAGATCATGTGACATTCATTTGGTGAGCATTTATTGATCGAGGATTTTTTAAATTATAACCCCGTAGCAGGTTGAGGGTTTACTCAAACTTCAAAAGTTAAGTTCTAGCAGGAGATCAGAGTATACATCCCAATCAAATTGGTAAGGGGTAAAACAGGTTGAAGGAAATAGCCAAAAGACGCGTTTTACTCTTGTATCGAGTTATTCTTACTCGACCAGAGTGGGGGAGGCAGGAGAGGGCAGATAATATGGAATAATCGGTTTTAATAGATAAGATAGAATATTACCTGGAATAAATCTGCAAATGGACAGGACAATATCATAATGGTATTGCTCAAGTCAAACTTGAGCACTAAAGTACAACTCCCCTATGAAAGAGGCATAGAGTATCCCAAAAACACCCTCTCTCTTTCTATATTCAATAATATACTCTCATTATGCACTTTATCTCTGGCAAGTGCGGACTTAAGCATCAGAGGCTCAACGCTGGACGAAGACCGTTTGAATTGAAAGAGCACGAGTGAAGTCCATTTCACTGTTCGTTATTTTATTTTAAAAATAAATTTACACATACACATGTCATGAATGAAAGTATAATTTGATAGTAGGGTGTGATAATTCATTCCTTGAAGTTCTATATGGATTTCACAATCACATATAATTTATTGCTACTTAACATGAACTTTTCAACGTTGAAATCCACCTACCGAATATGCTTAATTATAAAGACTTTGAGACAGTCTAGGGGCAAGAAGAACATCAAGTGGCAAGGCTTTCATATTGATCATCCCATGACTCCCCGTCATATCAACCTCCTTACCGGACACAGTCGACAGCTCAAACCCGTGCAACAAGTTAGCCAACACCAAATTCATCATCTGCAGGCCAGAGTTTGCCCCCGGGCAGATCCTCCGTCCCGCACTAAATGGGATCAGCTTGAAATCACGACCTTTCACATCCAAGTTCCGGTGCTCGCCCAGAAACCTCTCGGGCTTGAACTCTAGTGCGTCAGGTCCCCACACGTGCGGGTCCCGGTGCAGCTTCCATGCGTTCACCATCAACCATGTCCCCTTGGGGATGTGGTAGCCGCTGACATTGCAGTCCTCGGAAAACTCGCGTACGCCAAGCAGGGGCCCTGCAGGGCATAACCGCAGAGTCTCTTTTGTGATGGCTTGGAGATAGACTAGATTGCCAATGTCCGATTCGTCTACATGCCTTTCCTTGCCCACGTGTGTATCCAGCTCTTCCTGAGCCTTATTCAAGGCGTGGGGGTTGTTGAGTAGGAGGGAAAGGGCCCATATTAACATCACTGTGGTTGAGTCCGTCCCACCTACGATCAAAGCCTGCAGTTACAATTGAAACAAATCACTATATATGACCTTACTACTCTATGAAAAATGTGAAAGGGGATCGTTCAGTGTCAATGAAAATGTAGTTTATTGTCTTGATTTTTCCTTAAATTAATATGAAAACGAAAATTATTGCAAATGGTTGTTTTCTCATTCCTCCAAATATTGCACTCTGACTGACATATATACAATATACAACTTGGTGAGTTGGTGTCTGTATTGTGTTGAAGTGTATGTTAACTGTAAGAGGCAAAATGCAATTGAAGATACAAAAAATATACAATGACGGGAAGTGTTCGCCTAAAACAGAGCTTTGTCTAGTTACATATATATGCGTACCTCGCAAGTGGCCTTGATGATGGTGTCGTCATCATACTCGGTCTGAAGCTCACCGCTTCTCATAACCGACACCATCACATCCATAAAATCCCGCGGCTTGTAATCATCATCATAACCATATTCCTTCTCCCGATGCTCCGCAAGCCATCCCCCGACCAATCTCTCCAGCTCCCTCGCGTTTTCCCTCATCCTCTTCTCGTGCCCCCCAATATCCAGCCACCCCAGATAAGGGAGGGCGTCGGCCACCACAAACATCCCCGCTAACTCAAATAAACTCCTCATCATCTCCCGGCACCGCCTAATCTCCTCCCCACCATCATTGATGCCCGCCAACCTCTTCCCAGCCACCAGCCTCAGCACCATGTTCAAGGTTAGCTCCCCAACCCACTTCTTCATGTCCACCAAAACCCAGCCCGACCCATCCTTCCTCTCTTCCCACCTACGGAAAAGCTCGTTAACCGACAAGGCCGTCTCGGACGCGCGCACATCTCGTTGCATCTTGACCTGCCGGGCCGAGAGGAGCTCAGTAGAGACGAGCCTGCGCATCTGGATCCAGTGGGGGCCGTAGGGAGAGAATCCGAAGGTGGCAAAACCACGGCTCAGGTGGCAGGCAGCTCGCAGGACCGGGCGGGAGGATATGGCCGAATCGCAGGTGGTGAAGAGGTGTTTGGCTAGCTCCCGGCTGCTGACGACCAGGGCCCGTCGCATGCCCAGACGGACTGTGAAGGCCGGTCCGTACGTGTCGGAGAGGGCGGCCAGCGCGATGTAAGGGAGCTCGGAGGGGGGGAACATAAGATGGAGATGGCCGGTGAAAGGCCGGGCGCCCCCAGCTTCTGGCGGGGATTTGTGGGTGGCGTTTTTTGTTGGCCGTAAACAGTAGAAGAGGAAGAGTAGTGAGGCACTAATGGCTCCGAGGATGGAAAAGTTGAGCTCCATTGCAGTGTGATTGTGTTAATTCTGGTATTTTTGGGTGGTGGTAGAGTACATATATACACTGCTTGCTTGATTGATGGTAGGTTCACGCACTTTATGTTATATTTATTTCATTTATGTTTAATACTACTAATATGTCATTTGGCGCAAAAAAAATTCTGGGATGTCGAAGGCCTGGGAACAAAATTTCCTAAAGGAGGGATCACGAGAGACCCTGTAGAATTGTGTACGTACGTTATTGACAAATTAACAGAGTCTATTTTATTTTATTTTATTTTATTTTATTTGAAACACTCAAGAGGGAGTTAGGCTATATCCCAACCTGTATATATAAAAGACTTTAACTGTGCTGAAAAGTCACAAATCTACAAATTTAATGTCTGAAATACATCAAGATAATCGAAAGGCAAAACAAAAAACGAAAATGAAAAGGAAAAAAACAAACTCTTGCAACAGCTGTCAGTAACACAAAGATCCCACTGGTCCATTCGTATAAAGGTACAAAGATGGAGAGGAATATGGTCAGGTTACTTTACTCTACTAGTAAAGTGCAATGCCAAAGCAGATGATACATTATTATGTGGTTTTGTGATCTAAAATTAGTTTATGTATATTTTGGATAATTATTTTTAATTAATGAAAGAAGAAGTATACTACATTATGAGTTTTGATATATATTGAAGATTGAAACATATTTTCTAATTTGTGATAATATTTAAAAGTCATGATAAAAAGCAATACATGAAGTAGTGGGGTTTGAATTTCGTTGAAAAATTATGAATATTACTAAGTGAAAAATGTCACATTAATCCCGTGTGCTATAAAGGTTTGGGTTATAAGATGTTGTGCTTAATCATGTCCCTTCATCGAATTTGTTTCGTATTGCACTCATGAAGTTTATTTGGAAAGAAATTGGTGCTTAATCATGTTCCTTGAGTTCTCCTTTGTGAGAGTGTGCGTTCTCTTTTCTGAGATTTCAGTTCTCACTTGGGATTTTAGTTCTAGGGCTTAAATTCTGTCTGATTTTAGTAGTTGTGTTCGATCCACTTTTTAGTCTTTTAGTCTCTAGGGTTGGATTTTCTTTTAGCCTTTGGGGTTTTATCTGTTTTTCTTAGTTTCTTTCTAGGGTTTCTGTATTTTTGCTTGTGTTTTATCATCTCTCTGGCAGGTAAATATTCTGATCCATTTCAAATGGAAGAGAGGAATTCAAGTATGGAGCAGGACATTAGTGATAAACTCTTGAAGATTAAATTGTCTGAAAAAGAAGAGGAAGATGTTGAATTGCTAGATGGGGACATAGTGAAAGGGCTGCGAGATTGCAAGTTCAGTGTAATAGGACAAAGTTTCGGGGAAAAGAAGATCAACTTCTTTGGAATGAAGAATACGTTGGCGAGTATTTGGCAACAAAGCATCATTTCTCCGTCCGTAATCTTGGGGATTGCAAATTCCAATTCGTGTTTCATTCGGAGGAGGACAAAAACAGAATATTGTCTGGCAAAACATGATCGTTCGACGAACAATACCTACTTCTGAAGCAATGGGACCCGGATAACTTGGAATTTCAGGAGGACGAAATGTTCATTAAAGTATGGGTTCAATTTTGGAATTTGCCACTACATTGGGTATCTGAAGAAGCAGGAGCGAAAATTGGCAAGAAGATAGGACGGGTGCTCAATGTGGTCATTACAGGAGAAGGGAGTACAAAGGTCATTTGATAAAGTTGTTGGTTGAGATGAAGCTAAAAGATCCCATCATGAGGGGTACAAACATCAGAGTTGGTAACAACAACAGGTGGGTGGACTTCAGGTATGAAGGTATCCAAACATTTTGCTTTTACTGTGGTTTAATAGGGCACTCTGATAGGGGTTGTCCCTAAAGAAGAAGATTTACTGAGAAATATGCTTAATGTGGGACAATTTGGGGATTGGTTGAGAACCAATACTCTTCACATCAGTGAAGGTAGAAGTTCTCACACCAAAGCTTTTGATAACCAGTCCAATGATCCTAATAGTGTTGGAGTCTCTAAGCTTGTGTCATCTCCCAGTCCCATAGTGAGAGAAAATACTCAAGAGGACAAGGGCAGAGAGGAGAGTAATATGGATATTGATAAACAAATAGAGGAGATTAGAGAGGATCAGAGGGGAGAGAGGGTAGAGAAAACCAATGTAGGGGAGAGCTCAGAAATTGCTGAGGAGGGTGGGATTAGGGTTTTAACAGAACACTCTCCTGATGATGATCACCTCATTGAGGTTAATATTCAATCCCCCCCCCCCCCCNCCCAAGAAAGAGATTATGAAAAGGAAAAAGAAAACTTTTGTCATGAAGAGTAGGGATTTGATCTCGGACTCTTCCAATAAAATGATTATTAAAAATTCTTCCTTAATTAATATTCCAGTTTATGAAAATTTGCTAAGCAGGAAAAGATTATCTGAGGTTTTGATGCATGAACAACAAGTTAATTTGAAAAAAATGAAAACTTCTGAAAAAGAAACTCAGTCCAAGGTGGAGGAAACCAGCCTTAAATGGTCCCAAGGTGATAAATGAAGGTATGTGTGTAGAACTGTAGAGGTCTGGGAGGACCCTCTACAGTTTCCCAAATCAGAGAAGTTCTTAGACTTCACCTTCCCGATTTTGTGTGTTTATCTGAAACAAAAAAAAACCCAAATTTGTAGAAACTGTTTGCAAAAAATTAAAACTTCATGATAACTGGTTTTATCAACCCCCTATAGGTACTAAGGGAGGTCTTTTGTTGTTTTGGAGTAACTATTTGTTGGGTTCTGTTAGGAACGTCCAACAACATGCATAGTATTGAACTTTATCGAAATAAATCCTAACGCAGCGGAATCTATAGTTAGGATATGACGTTTACCTTTTAAAATTTTTGCCGACTCTGAGACGATGTAGAGTACCGTTGGTGAAGTTCGTCTGAACACCACAACCTAATGGGCGGATAGGTTTGGCCTTTAGTTAATTCTAATCAACTCGTCAAACGGATCACGAACGGACGGTGCGCGGGTCTCGGTCGTCAGGTGCAGCGGGCTGATCGCGGGCGTCGTGCGCGTCGGGCGCTGGTCGCTGACAGGTACGGTCGTGCGTGTTGCGGACGCGGGTACTGGCAGCTGGCAGCGTATCGCGAACGCTGGGCATGTGCGTGCAC